GTTTTTGAACCAAACTAATATATTTAAATTGAACCCATCTAATATATATACCTAGCATAAATTAATTCATTGGCACCATGAAAGTCTTCTTTTTTAAAATGTCATAAACTTGGTGTCAAACAATCTGCATCACTCACATCACACTTAACACACTCCAGCAACATTTTTCTTATAAGCCATTTATTCCTCAAGTAAAAAAGGACAAAAAAAGTTGCATGTTCAGACAAACAAATATAAACATGTCATTGTTGATCAGAGCAATGACATAAAGACAATATGGCTTATCAAGCAAAATTAAATGGACAGAAAGCATTCACTATTGTTGTACTGTTCAAACACATCTGAACTTGAAGGAATGTTGCATCTCTAAACATCATGAAAGAACTAAAATTCCAACAAAAGCACTCCATGAAAGTGACCACCTGAACATGTATAACAAAGTGCTGTGAGGTGGTCTACCTCTTAAATAGATGCCAGTGGCAACTACATGCACACACATTAAGCACACACTTAAATATACACTACTGTGCAGTTTTGAGTTCACCACTGAGTTTGCGAATCTTGGAAGTCATCTTGTTGGAACCAAGCTCCATCAGGATCTTCTGAAGGGCCTCAAAGGTGAACCTGAAACCCTGTGGATACTCCATGTTAAGAGCATAGCAAAGTCCAAAGAGCATTGCCACTCCAGCTGCAAGAGAAGGCAACTCATTGAGGACTTCCACACCATCAATGACAATCCCAACGTCTTGGGGCTGCTGTAGAAGGCTTGAATTCTCTCTGAAGACGAAGACTGCCATGATGGTCCTCTCCAGCTCCTGCTCGGCTTGATCTTTCTGGGAGACCTGAGGCAAAATATACGAAATATGCAACTGAACAACTGCAGTATGGCACACCTCATTAATCACTATATACTGTATAATGGCATAGGTGACACATTGTTTGACACATAGGTGACACATTGCAGACACATTGTGCAACGGACGAAGCTCTCCAAGCACTTCTTCTTCTTCTTCTTCTTCTTTTATGTTTAATGGCGGTTGGCAAACAACTTATAGGTGCATTACCGCCACCTTCCAGACTGGAGTATAGATTAGATGTCCTATCACTATATTCTCCCCATAATGCCTGACATCTTGAGAAACCTAAAAATGCTGTTAAAAATTATATTTTCAGAAGATCTTTGCAGCAAATTTTTAACATCTAAATTGATTTTATTACTGTTCATCTCTCTAATTAACAACTCTCTTTCCCGGCTGTATTTACTACATTCTAGAAGAATATGCTGCACCGTTTCTGACTCTCCACAAAAATTACACAAACCTGTACTATGTTTATTAATTATTTTCAGCGTACTATTCAGCCCCGTATGCCCAAATCTTAGTCTAGATATAATATCCTCTTCTCTTCTATTTCTACCCAAGCACTTCTCCCCAACGTCTTCTCACGTGACTCAGATTGAAAATATGACATCATTTCCTTTCAGCATGTTTTGAGAGGAACCAAAATATTTGCTTTCTTCCCATCAAAAGTGTTATTGATTCAGTCTGAATCAAAATTGAAACCTCAGAATGCAAAAAAATAGACTTTCACAACCAAGTCAATTATTGTACATTGTATTCAATAATAGTTTTTAGCTTGAATGAACAACTCTGTGCAAAACTTTTTCCAGTGCAGGAGAATTTAAGTGCAGGCAATAGAAGCTACGTGATGATTTTAAG